GCCCAGCCACTCCCTCACTCCACTTTGTTTACAATTTTTGGCATGAATTATTCATTACTTCTCCCTTCATTTATGATGGCATCTAAAGGTAGTTGTTAGAAATGATTAAATTCAGTGAACAAGGTATGTCGATGTTAATAATACGGCTCTGGGCCACAGTGTAGGTAGCCGGTAGGTGTAGCCCAGGCGGGCTACACCCACCAGCTACCTACACTGACTTCCTACAAATAAATACTACTCACCTCTCTTCCTATATTTAGACTACACATATTTTAAGGTAAATAATGAGTGTACTGTATGTGTATTTTACCTCTCTGGGATGTTTTAAATATCGTTTATTAAGTATGAGATGGGGAGCCAGGGCTACCTACACCTGGGCTACCTGCACCTGACTTCCTACAAATAAGTACTACTCACCTCTCTCCCTACATTAAGATTACAAATACTTTAAGATAAGTAATGAATTTACTGTGAATGTATTTTACTTTGTGTGTTTTTAATGCCTAGTTCTGTTACTAACTTAATATAATTTAGTGTAAACTTGTTGTCTGGCATCTATATGCATTTATAAATGGAAAAAATGGTGTTCTGCTTTCTGGCGACGTCTGCTTTCCAGCGACAGCCTGGAACCTAACCCACCGTATAAGTGGGGCCCTACTGTATATGTATATATTATATATATGTGTATATATATATATATATATATATAATATATATATATATATAATATATATATATATATATATATATATATATATATATATATATACAGGAAGGCCCCGCTTTACGGCGTTTCACTTTACGGCGTTCCGCTAATACGGACATTTCAAATTATGACCAAAACTCACTATACGGCTCCCCCCACCTGACTTTCTAATACGGTCACCGTGCCCCACCCTGTTTGTTTACATTCTCCATGAGCTCAGTAAGCACTAAGTCTCTCCATTTTGTCTGGAAACTCCAAAATTTCAAATGTTTTTAAAAGTTATTTCATATTTTATATATACTCTGATAATTATACTTATGTATACCTGTACCTAAATAAACTTACATACATCGAGTCATTTAAATGTCGTATATTACGTTAATATACACATTTTCATTAATCCATCCATGATATTTTTTTCAAAATTATATAATAAACACGATGCATAACATATAAATAAGATAAATACACCCCACAGTAGAATAAATAAACAAATGTGAGATGTCGTAGCAGACGACTTGCACAAGTGGTGATAATAACAATACTGAGTCTCATTAAATGTCGTATATTACGGTAATATACACATTTTCATTAATCCATCCATGATATTTTTTTCAAAATCATATAATAAACACGATGCATAACATATAAATAAGATAAATACACCCCACAGTAGAATAAATAAACAAATGTGAGATGTCGTAGCAGACGACTTGCACAAGTGGTGATAATAACAATACCGAGTCTCATTAAATGTCGTATATTACGGTAATATACACATTTTCATTAATCCATCCATGATATTTTTTTCAAAATTATATAATAAACACGATACATAACATAAAAAGATGATAAATAACACCCACAATAGAATAAATAAACATAAATATAAGATGTGGGAGCCACATAACTTGTACAAGTGACGCCAAGAATAACATTTTCTCTAATCTAACATAAGAGTAAATGTGTTACTGGGGGTAACTGTAGAAAATTATTCCTTTCGTATGTATGTAAGTAAGTTTATTCAGGTATACACAAATACAGTTACATAGATTATCATACATAACAACATACGTGTAGAGAACCTAGGATAACCCAAAAAAGTCAGTGTGACTTATTTCCATTGCCTTCACTCAGAGCTTCATTTCTTCTCAAAATGATGTTACATGAGAATGGGAGTGTTCTTCTTTATTAATTCTACCGTATCAATGTAGAGACAACCTGTACACAATGTAACTTGTACACAAACCAGACGTGTACACTTCGTTTGTTTACAAAACTTACCTTCCCCTGGTTTGTTTACATAACTGCGCCTGCCCCCTCTCATGTATTCATTCTTTCTCTCTCTCATTTATTCGTTTTATCTCATTTACTTACTCCTGACCCTACATTAAGACTACAAATATTTTAAGGTAAGTAATGAGTGAACTGTATATACATTTTATCGCTCTGGATGCTTAAATATCATAGAATAGTATGTGTGGGTGGGGTGGCCTGGTGAGGCTATTACAATACATACCACACTTGATTTCTTACAATAAATACTACTTGTCTCACCCTAGATTAAGACTATAAATATTTTAAGGTAAGTAATGAGTGCACTATGTGTGTATTGTACCTTTTTATTGTTTTTTGATGCCTGGTTCTATTGCTAACTTAATATATGTTAGTGTAAACTTGTTATCTAGTGTTTGTATGCATTTATAAGTGGAAAAAAAGGGTGTTCCACTTTACGGTGATTTCCGCTTTACGGCGGTAGCCTGGAACCTAACCCGCCGTATAAGTGGGGCCTTCCTGTATATAATACATACACTCACACACACATGTATATATGGATGGTTATAGGTATCTAAAATGTAGCTAAAAGTATTCTTGACACTATACTATTCATAAATTTTAATAGAAGAAGGGCATCATTTTATAATCATAATCCTCACAAGAATTGTACATATACAGTACACCGTTTTGGATATAGCACGATTGAAGAATTGTGGCATATTTTTGTTTAACACTTCATAAAATTAGTTTAACACAGTTGCGGGAGGGGAAAAATTTTGAGCGCCGCCGGGCGGGATGGTCTGTGGGTTACACCATTGTGTCAACTGGGGAGACCTACCACCATGCCGTCCCCTGCCTCCCTCAGCCACCCACACCCACCCACACCACTCTCCTAACCTACAGTTTGGTTCATACGCATGTAGGACAACGATTCTCAAAGCTCAGTGTGTTTATTTACATACATATTTTCTTATTTTCATTGCCATATGTTAAATCTGCCAGGCAATCATAGCACTGACTTCACTGAATGACTTACTGATTTGACTGAATGACTCTTGACTGAATAACTTACTGACTTGACTGAATGACTTACTGACTTGACTGAGTGACACACTAACTTGACTGAATAACTTTCTGACTTGACTGAATGACACTGACTTGTCTGAATGACACTTGACTTCACTGAGTATCTTACTGATTTTATGCACACTCCAATACAACCACCGACTTCAGTACCAGAACTTCTACCATCCACTTCTGCCAACAACTAACAACCATCCACCTCAGCCCAGTAGGGCAACACCATCCATATCCACTCTCTTCACAATCATCCACAAACACCATTACCCACAATTTAAGGTAAGAAATACTATTATTTCTAATGCATTTGTAGTCTTAATCAGTAATATATCATGACAGTGCACTAAAATTAGATATTCGCTTTTATTTTGTAAGATCTGGAGGTCAAAAAAAAAAGTTCTTTGGCTTTTTGGGGGCTCCCAGGAACGTAACCCTATTTTTCCCATAAGCTCTTCAGTTCGTCTAACACAGATTTGTCTAACATGGCATTATCAGGAACGTAACTACCATGTTAAACAGTGGTCTACTACATATATTTTTCAGTAAAATCCACAAAACAACTTTCTCATATATATTTTATAATGCATAAGAATCGTCTGAAAGTTTGAGGTAGATCTGAATAGGTACCAGTATTTTCAGTTTAATGCATGAAAACATATTTATTATAATTATTATTATAACTATTTTTAAAATTGGCCAGTTTAAACGAATCCTAAACTTCTCTTCAGTTAAGTACTGTAAGCTTGATGCCATTCATACTAGGGGTTCTTAGGTTATTGCATGGAAAATATCAAATTTTTTAAATATAATTGTCAAATTGGTACTTATACAGTCTTGATGAATAAGATACATGTGGAATACCTGGATATCTTTACTGATAGACATTTCACACACTAGGGGCTGTTTCACTCTAACACAGAGACATGAGAACAGACCCTTTTATACCCAGAGCTAGTGGAAAAAGTGCAGCAATGCATCATTTGTAGATGTGTTAATGGGGTGGTGAAGAGGACTCATTAGAAGTCAGGCCCATACAGTGTGTCAAAAATTTAGCATAGAGTGTACAGGTATCCTCTGGTGTCGTACAAAGTTAAGTCCATAAGGTGGATCAGAGAGTTAGCATACAGTTGCAGAATACTGCGTTCTCTAAATTCCATATTGTTGCTGTGTCAAATATCTTTAGTTTTAAGTTCATGTTTAAAATGTGTGCAAAAACTTGGGTACCTTTATTGAAAGATAATACATATAAACCTTTGATCTTAAGATGCAAATATGAATCTTCCTTTAGGATACATTGGTGTTGAAAGTTTGAAGCCAATCAGAATATTTTTTTCTCATTTTCATTTACAAAATTTGCACCTACACAGCCTCTATTTTAGAAAGGCCACTTGTAAGTTTGATGCCAATCAGAAAAGGCATTCTTATGATATCATTCAGTAACCTTGGAGGAAAAAGTTCCAACAGTCACTATAAGCACAGCATTACCTTTTGAAGGAAAATATAATTAATTTTGACATTTATATATGTGTGTAGTACTTATTTACTAGACTCGTGGGTGAGTCTTTTATCTTCCCAAAATAACCACAATTGGAGTGACGTCACACTATTTTGTTACCTTTTAACATCTTCATCTTTACATTCTGCTAGTCATATTTCTTGTTAGCCCTAGCTTAACTTGCCTGCTGTGTTTAAAAATTGTGTTCGTTAGATTTGCATAAATTAACAGATTGCAATTTTCCTCATTAGCCATATAAAGTGGTGTGTGGAAGATGTGTGTAACTTGCATATGCAGTATCATTAGCTGATGTAGTCATGATTTCCAGAACTGCAGTCAGTTGCAGTGCCTCATTGAGATGTTTTCATAATTAGGAAAATATCTGAAATTAGTTGTATAACTTGAGCTGTCCAGCAACCCATCTTTTATACTCTTCAACAGGCCTTGCAACATCCCATCCTCGACCACATGGTGGAAAGAGAAAGAGTCCAGAATTGCGGGCAGTGTCAGAGCCTTGTTCGCCATTCTGCTATTTACATCTGGTGAGTAATTTTAGGTGGACAAATGGTTTATTGTGTTCAAGAATTTTTAAAATTTGGCAGAATTTAGAAAATATCTTAATGTACTTAATGTTGGTTAAATTGCACACTGATGTAGTATGCAACTTAACCAGCATGGAAATTAATTTAAATCCATTTGATTTTCTGGTCACTTAATCACAGACTTAAGGAACATTGAAGAAACTTATGCACTAGATGTTCTATATACAAGAGAGAGAGCATTTCACACTTGGACTTGAAAAGACCTAGTCAAATTCAGATTTTTTTTTTCTAAACATAATAAAAACTTACAATTTGACTTTAAAGTCCATAGTATGCACAACATTTGGTAACTTGGGTTAGGTGGAAAAGGGTTTCTCTTGGGTAGATAGCACCACACTCCTGGACCTGAGGCAGTCATTGTCCCCATGGTTTGTGGTTCCTGATCTTTTCTCTCTTGTAGATGAGTAAGACATTTGCAACAGTTATGTATTTTTTTTATTTTTGAAACAATTTGCATTCAGAGGTTAGTAAAAAATATTGAAGACAATCTAGAGGTAACTATGAGGTGATCAGTCCCTCACCCTTGAAGTGTTCAGCTCCATAGTGTCGAGCAGTATAAAGCTTGAGAATGAAGCCTTTTTTAATTTAACTGAAAGTGAGGTGCAGAAGTTGGAGACAGTTTCACAAGAGATGACCTACTTGTTGGAAGTAAAAACTACAGCAGGTCCACTGGTTTGCTGCAGTGCTCTTGAAAACTTTTAGGCTAAGGGACTGACCATCTCAAAATTACTTATTCTTGAAGACTAAGGGACTGATCGCCTCATTCTGTATTTATCTCTACACTAGGTCTGCATTTTAGTAACCTCCGTATTTGGCTATGTATGTGCACTTACTACTGGTGCACACTATGTGCACAGGACACTCAACATAAACATTAACCCACAACTCAGACTCTCCTTGGAGAGCTGCAGAAGAACATTCACTCATAATATATAATATGAGTATCTTTTTGATATACAGTACCATGTGTTCAACTTGACTCATTTAGATACTTCATGCAATTAAAAAGCCCCAGAATAAGAACTTTTTCCCTCAAAATGCAAACAGTTTGTGATGTATAGAGCTGTAAAATGAGTTTCAGACTGCAACAATGTTGGTTGAATCACCAGCAATATGTTTGGTAAAAGGAAACAGGCACAACTAATGTGACATTTTACTGTGGCAGCACTTTGCACTTCAGGAGCTTTATTCCTGTGTCTGTCAGCTGCTTCAGTATTGTTAAAAAACTCCTTAACCCTTTCAGCGTTGGTGCCGTACTAGTACAGTGGAACCTCAAAAATCGAACTTAATCCGTTCCAGGAGCTAGTTCTAAATTCGAAAAGTCTGAAATTCTAAGCAATATTTCCCATAAGAAATAATGGAAATACAATTAATCCATTCCAGAAACCCAAAAATATTCACACAAAAAATACATTTTATAGAGATTAATTACAGTTTTACATACAACAAATACTATAGTTTTTAATTATGTATAGTAATACATATAAAATAACATTTTTACTTACCTTTATTGAAGATTGGTGATGGCATCTGGAAGATAGGGAGGAGGAGAGAGGGAGTTGGGGTTAGTGTTTGGAAGGAGAATCCCCCTCCATGAGGACTTCAGGTAAAGCCCTCTCTGGGGTTACTTCCCTTGTCTGTCTTTTAATGCCACTAGGACCAGCTTGAGAGTCACTGGACCCCTGTCTCACAAAATAACTGTCCACAGTCCTCTGTTTCTGGCGCCTCTTTAACATTTCCCTAAAATGGGACATGGTTCTGTCACTGAACTTGTTGCAAAGATGGCTTGTTTCAGCTTGCTCAGGGTGGTACTTCTGCACAAACATTTGGACATCATTCCACTTGGCACAAATCTCCTTAATCTTTGAAGAAGGCACCTCATCCACTCCTTCTTCCTCTTCCTCTGAAGCAAGTTCCTCAGCTGTGGTCTGATACTGCTCCAGATGAAGCTCTTGCAGCTCTTCAGTGGTTAGCTCTTCCCTGTGGTCCTCCACCAACTCTTCCACATCCTCACCACTCACCTCCAACTCCAGGGTGCTCCCCAATGCCACAATAGAGTCCACAACAGGCAGAGGGTGAGCTGAGTCAGGGTCAGCCTCAAACCCTTCAAAATCCCTCTTTTGGACACAATCTGGCCACAATTGTCTCCAAGCAGAGTTCGAAGTCCTGGAAGTCACTCCCTCTCAAGCCTTACCTATAAGGCTTATGGAGCTGTAGATGTTGAAGTGATTCCTCCAGAACTCTCGTAAGGTCAACTTAGTGTCTGTGGTCACTTCAAAGCACTTTTCAAACACTGCTTTTGTGTAGAGTTTTTTGAAGTTAGAAATGACCTGCTGGTCCATGGGCTGGAGGAGAGGAGTGGTGTTAGGAGGCAAGAACTTCACTTTTATAAAACTGAAGTCCTTAGACAAGAGGTCTAATAAGTTTGGAGGATGAGCAGGAGCATTGTCCATTAACAGGAGGCACTTGAGTGGCAATTTCTTTTCCTGGAAGTATTTTTTCACACTGGGGCTAAACACTTCATAGACCCACTTTTTGAAAATTTGTCCTGTGACCCATGCCTTATGATTAGCTTTCCACAAGACACATAACTTGTTCTTAAAGACATTGTTTTTCTTAAACACACTGGGATTTTCTGAATGATACACAAGTAAAGGCTTCACTTTAAAATCACCACTAGCATTAGCACAGAATAAAAGAGTAAGCCTGTCTTTCATAGGCTTGTGTCCTGGCAGTGCCTTTTCCTCCTGTGTGATGAAGGTCCTTTTTGGCATTTTCTTCCAAAACAAGCCTGTTTCGTCACAATTAAACACTTGTTCAGGTTTGAATTCTTCACTGTCTATGTACCCCTTAAACTCCTGTACAAACTTATCAGCCGCCCATTTGTCTGAACTGACTGCCTCACCATGTCTTACAACATTGTGTATGCCACTACGCTTCTTAAATCTGTCAAACCAGCCTCTGCTGGCCAGGAGTTTTCTGTACCAGATCGGCATGCAACTTCCTTGCCTTTTCGCAAATAATCGTCTCTGAAACACTATCACCTGCAATCTCTTTATCCTTGATCCACACCAGCAACAACTTCTCAACCTCTTCAACTATTTGTGGTCTTTTTTTGGTTAGCATATTAGCACCTTTCACAACATTAGCTTCCTTGATTTGGTCTTTCTTTGCCAGGATAGAACCGATGGTCGACTTGTTTTTCCCATACATCCTGGCAAGCTCAACAAGTCTCACACCACTCTCATACTTCTGTATTATTTCCTTCTTCACATCTATGGTGTTTCTCGCTTTCTTTACCACAGGGGTACCACTAGCAAGTTTCTTTGGGCCCATGGCAGCTTATTTCACAGTCCCACAAACACTAAACACAACGAAATAATCGTAAAATGTGTGAATGAGAGCTCAGGTTAGTGTTTACTCAAGCATAAACAACGCTAGACTGCTCACGGCGCCTGCGCAGGGACGCGGACAGAGCAGGCCGGCAGACAGGTCCCGTACCCGGCAGTCCGAAAATAGGGGCGTGTTCGATAATAGGGACACAGTTTGTCCGAAAAAATGGTCCTATTTTCGAAATGTTCGATATGTGATACGTTCGATTTTTGAGGTTCCACTGTACAGCTTACACGCCAGGGTTGGTACCATACTAGTACGCATAAATTGTAGTGCCTTCAAATCTAGCGAGAGAAAGCTGGTAGGCCTACATATGAAAGAATGGGTCTATGTGGTCATTGTGCACGGTATAAAAAAATCCTGCAGCACACAGCGCATAATGAGAAAAAAAAACCCTCCGGCCCTGTTTTTGCTTTAAAACGGCAACTTTGCAATGTATTTTCGTATGCTATTTATGGTTGTATTCTAGTTTTCCTGGTCTCAGTTTATAGAATGGAAGACATATTACAGAAATTGAGATGATATTGATTGGTTTCACAATGAAAAGTGCCTTGAAGTTGAGCTCAAAGTAGCAGAAAAAGTAGCAGAAATGTTCGATTTTTGCCAAAGTTCAAAAGTAAACAAATAATGCAACGCGTCCAATACATGTCAACTGGTGAGTCTAATATTCTTTCACAAGTGTGGTGATATTATTTATACCATTTCTACACTAATGCAGTAGTCTGCATAACAGTAAATCTTCTATTTTTTTTATGAGAACAAAAATTCAAAGGGGAAAGCAAAAGAAATGTAAGAGAGGTCTGAGGACATGACTAATGAATAGAAATTTTTTTATTTTAGTGCTAGGAATGTCTGTCTTGTTTATTCTGGACCCTATTTTGAAATTGGTATCTTTTGAAATTTGTGTGAAATTGGCAAAATTGCCAATTTCTGAACACTTTATTGGATAGTTGAAATTGGTAAATGGGTGGTTTCTTGTACTCATTCGATAGAGAAAATGGAGCTCTACTGAAATAGTTATGATTTTTGTTGACTGGTACATAGGAATTGGCCAAAAATAGGGCTCAATGTGGGCGAAATCGCCGATGCGTGAAATCGTCGAGACCGCTAAGTTCGCGAGAGCATAATTCCGCAAGTTTTCCATCAAATTTCATACTTCTGGTGTCATTAAGATTGGGAAAAGTTTCTCTATCATTTCATAAGTTTTTTTTTTTTTTTTTTTTTTTTTTTTTTTTTTTTTTTTTTTTTTTTTTTTTTTTTTTTTTTTTTTTTTTTTTGGAAAAAATTTCTGACCTTGAGAACAAGTTTAGGAAGGGCCTGTCGACCCTGAAAGGGTTAATATGATGTAAATGTTTATGTAAAGTGATTATAAATGCTCATGCATGATTGTCACCACTTACATGCTGCCACTCAGTAAACACCCCACCTGGTTATGATGTAAATTTAATTTTGATTGCCTCTAGACATGTAATTTAACCCTTTCAGGGTCCGTCCCGTGGATCTATGGCTTTACGGTGAGTGTCCAAACCGTAGATCTACGCCATGAG